TGTAGTATTGGTTTGTAGAATAGTAAATAATTCAATAGCACTCTCAGCTGTGTCTAGTGGTAAAGTAAGTGTATGTAGACTGGGATGAGAGTCAAATAGAAGATGTGGTGGGTATGGATCATGTAGTATCAGACAGTGTAATCCTTTGATACGTGGAAGGAGTGATGTCATTAGTTCATTACTCCATCTTAATTCTCCTATCATTAGAGCCTGATATAAGTGATCTCTATCAGATATGTCCAGTGAAAGAGTTTGTAATGTGTCATTGTCCTTTAGATTTAGATTTACTACTTGATTAGGAGGAGGAGGATAAGGAGCAAAATATTGTGGTAATGTTGTCTGGATACCCACTGGTAGATCAGGTTTCCAGACTAGTGTTAATGATGTTATTGTTTCATTTCTTGTTACTCCTCTAATAATGCTAATAATGGTACTTTTTCTTTCATTCTCAAGCTCAGTGTACTTGTCTGTATTGTCAAATATAGACACATGCATTCCGCCTTGTATTTTTAAGTGCAGTATTTTCAATTGAGGAAGATTGAGGAACTGTAACAATACAAGACAGGGAACATATTGAAGATTTATTAATAGACAGTAGCACTCCTGAATATTGTATAAAAGTGATGGTTGTAATAATTTGTGTATTAATTCATCAGTGGGTTCATACAACTCAACTACAAGTCTCTTACACTGGGTCTGTAGTGAGTTATTGGTTAGTCCAGCAGTGAAGATTGATAGTGACTGGTTAGATGCAGTCCCCAGGTGCAAGTGATTCCATATTGTGTTGGAATTGTTTATACAATAACTGAGACACAACCAGTCAAACAATGTTAATGATACTCTATACAGACACAGTGAGTGGTTGTTGATGGATTGTGCTAATACTTGACATAATGTTGTGTTCTGTGATTCATACAGGAGTTGAAGAAGAAGAATGGGAACATTGTCAAAATCATCAGATTCGATATGATCAATTTGTCTAATTTTAGGATTCTGATGTACTAAGAGATGAAGAGTCTCATATCCTAACAATGGTTTCCTCTTACACTGTAAGTCAAGTTGTTTATTAAAATACTGTTGATAGCTCTCATGTTCAAGGTGAGTTAGACCTGCTACAAACCTCAGACACATTCGAAAGTGATCGTCATCAAAGTGATCCTTAAACACTTCCTCTGTCTTCTCCTCATGTTTAACTATCCACCATGCAGCTAGAAATTCCTGTATACTCAAGTGAAGGAACTGATACTTCTCCTCATCATATTCTATGAATGTTGTCATCAATCCAAGATAGTCTTCCTTGACTGCCTCAGTCAGTGACTGTAGTTGATGTGAAGAGAATGTCATTCTTGTATTAGCCAGGTTAGTATAAGCTATTTGACACATCTCTTGTAAAGGTTTAGCAAATTGTGTTGGTAATGAAGAAAGACTACCTAAAGTGTGTGGGTTCATGTCATGTTTTTTAACATGTCTTCTGATAGTTTGTAGAATAAAGTTCTCATAGAGTTGAGTGAGTGTTGTTGGTAAGTGTCCTCCTTCCTTACAATAAACTAAGATAACCATGGAGCAGACTAGTGGTATATAACACAATAAATGGACATCATTTCGTACTTTAAGATCATTAATGAGTTTCACTGCTAGTTGTGAGTCCTTACTGCTTTGAGTAGTTGTGAATGGTTTAGATAAAAGAAGTGCCAAGCTGCTTTTATCAATGAGTTCTTGTGCTAGTTTTGTATCTTTTTGAAGTGTTTGTATAATTACTGTTGATATTTCTTCCTTAGAAAACCCAATGACCTGAACATGTCTACTGATAGTATCCATTTTCAAAAGTGAAGAGGAGGCATAGCTACGAGAGGTAACAATTACTGAACATTGGTCTAACTTCCCTTTACAAATGATACTAGCAGCTAATGAAGACTGTCTGAGTCTTTCACTTAGTTCATCCCAACCATCAAAAATTATCAGTAATCCTTCTCCATCCCTCTCCTCAAACCATTCAGGTACATTTTTATATCTATTAAGTTGACGCACAAACAGGTCAGCCAGTGTAGTAGCTGTAGCTATCTTACTGTTCCTTAACGGACAGTAAAGTACCAAGTCATACTGTTGGAGTAAAATTATTTCATTAGACCACATATTTAACAGTTTACGACAGAGTGTGGTCTTGCCAATACCAGGAGGACCATCTATTACTACTCTGAGAGACTGAGAATTAGTTGATGGTCGAAGGACATCTTCAATCCTAATCCCTATGTTTTCATTTAGTCCAAATATTTCATCGACTTGTCCTCTTAGCATATGCCAAGCTGATTTTGCTTGTGTGCTGGAGTCTTGTTTTTCTACTAGCGCTAGTCTTCCAAAATAATCTTTTCCAATTCTTGGTGGCCAATCTGTAGCAACAATAGGTTGGGATTTGTAGTGTTGTCTCATATTTTTAGCATATCCTTGAACATCATCAGGTATTGTAGATGGGACATTATCAGGTATAGGCTGACCTAATGTATTGAGATATAATGACTATATTGATCACTGATAATGTACACACACACACTCACCTAACTGGTGTAATATAGAGGTAGCAATATCTGTTAGTGTATGATGTTGTTGGTTTATTAATACATGACATACAACAATAAGATACTGCTTTGGAACAAGACAGTCTTCTAACTGTTTTTTCAATTCAGACATTAATCGCCCAGATTTAATAATATCAGAAGATTCAGTTACATTTTGAATTTGATCAACATTTTCAATTTTTATTAGTCCTTTAGCATATAACCCATATGCTACTTTGTAATGATTATGAGCAATAGCATCAACAAGAGTATCATAATTCATTCTGAATATAGCAATGGGAGTGTTACTTGCAGTATGTGGACTGACATCAGGTATAGACTGACCTAATGTATTGAGATATAATGACTATATTGATCACTGATAATGTACACACACACACTCACCTAACTGGTGTAATATAGAGGTAGCAATATCTGTTAGTGTATGTTGTTGGTTTATTAATACATGACATATATCAATAAGATACTGCTCTGGATTAAGAGAGGATCCCAACTGTTGCTCAATGACATTCACAAGTTTACTAGATTTCTCATTATTAGTTATTCCTAATACATGCATCTCCTCTTTGGCTTGTTGTGGTATCATGTCTTTAGCATACAGTGCATTAGTTACATCGTATAGATTCACACTAATAGCGTGAACTAGTTTATCAGAATGAGTCCTTAATATATCCTTTGGATTACCTGCAGTAGTGTATCAGTAAATGAGTGTTATATTAAGTGTCTGTTTACCTGATGTAGTACTAGTAACAGGTTTGTTTGCAGAAACTGATGATGATGCACCACTGGCAGAAGCATCACTGCCTATTTTAAAATATTGTTTTTAAATATTATACTTTTATGAAATAGATGTATAAATACCTTGTGATTTCTGCATTTGTAAACTAAGACCATGCTCTAACATATAAGATGAATTAAATTATAAAAAATATTTTGTATACCTAAATTGTTTGGAGGACTTTGGTTTGACCGCAAGCACCTACATAATTTAGTAACAATCCAGTTCCAGACTCTACCTAATCATGTTAATATTTATAAAATATAAAACTGCTACAATTAGCATAAATCTATGTTTACCTATAGGACCAGGATTGAGTTCAACATCTCCTGATAAGAGGAGGAGGAGAAGTAAAACCAAGTAGTAGATCAGTTCAGAGCTACTGCCAATAGTAGCTATAAACAAGACTAATGACTGGAGGCAGTGGATCATAACAGTAACAGTAATTATACCTATTGTAAATACACTGTATGATAATATTATACCGGTATACTGTTGATTTGTTTACCAGTTGGAGGAATGAAATTGAACTTCATATATCTTAATAAAGATAAAAGAAGAGAAACAATAAGAGACAGAGCTGCTGGCAGTTTAGATGTCTTCTCTCCTGATGTAGTACTGCCTGACTTGCTGTCTACTGCAGCTTTGAATGAGTGAGAGTGGCAGCCATTAGCTGGTCTACTGGAGGCAGCTTGACAGTAGTTCCACAGTCCAATACTTGCTCTCCATTGAGAGACATCAATCATCTTGTACTATAGTATGGAGGACAATGAGAGAATTAGGTAACTTGAGGTACTAGATCTACACTTTAAGTCAAGGAAAAAAGCTGGCCTTTTTACGTATTGTTTCTAAAGTTTGAAAAGAAGCAATTAATAAGTCTTTGCAGCAAGCCACAGTAAAGATGGGCGTACTTCCAAAAATGGGTGTATTAGTATAAGATGGGTGCACCAGTACAAAGGATGAAAGGATGGGTGCATCAGTGTATGTGTGTTGTAAATAGCACCTCATGAAAATAGCTACACACCAATAGCACTGAATATCATTAAAATATCTTATTACTGAAGAGGGTGGATGTACATACTTACATATACAGTGTTTTTCTGATTGTTTGATTCAATTATTCAGTTACTCATCATTGTACTAGCTAATACATGTGACACGATCAGGAATTGATGTGTTAGTGAGTTGGGTTCGTAAAATTAATTGGGTCAATCAACCTGCAAGGTATAGGGTTCAAATAAAACAGTACGTATACCACACACTCATAAACAAATTAATCACTCAGAATGATTGTGTATACACAATCATTCTGCTTGTTTGATGCATGTATGATGGCATTTAACCATTAGCCTGTGCATTAGAATTAAAATACTTACTGAATCTGAAATAATTATGTTTAAGATTTCAGAGAATGTTATCTCGTGGCAATTTAAAATATGACGCTATAAGCATATACTGTATGTTATTCATTAACTATTAGTGCTATCAGTAGTACCAAGAGTAGATAATATTTTAGGGTTTATCTACTCTTGGTAGTACATCAGTGATGACATCATCAAGTATGATATAGTCCCAGTATAAGTACTAGTAGTTCTTGTATTGATGTACTTGAATTTATGCTGTAGAAAAAATTTGAGCTGATTCTAATTGCAAATTTTTGAGTTATGAACATTGAAGAAAATGAGCCAATTTTATTTTTGAAAATTCCCCGGTACTATAGCCCATGATTTTTTTCAAAAATGACTTCAAAATCATCTATAATTTTTTTACATTTTCTGATACATAATGGTGCCCTTATACTGTGTAAAAAGATGAGCTCATTCCAACTTCAATTATTCAAGTTATGGCCATTTTCTAAATTGGCCGATTTCCATAGTTTTTTCCTGAAAATGGTCCCAAAATAAATTTTTTATGCATATTGATATTGAATACGGGCCCACTGGAATACAAGTAATGAAGAATATCAAACAATCACTGGATCCTAATGGAATCATGAATCCAGGGAAGATTATACACATACAATCATTATGATAATAATAATGCATGTAAGTAAATTTATCAATTTAATTATTTTTATAATAACGAAAGTACTAATTACAAAGCAGCATTAATTGTTCAAAACACTAGTAATAATAACTAAGATTGGCTATTACCTAAAATAAAATAATTAAGTCAATATCAATTTATTATAGCTAGGGGATCAAGAAATATTTTTTATATTATTAGCTTTTATTATTTCATTAGCTACTGCATTTTCTCCCATTCCATTAAGAGCTTCAATCAATGTTCCATATGTTGCTTTACCAGTTTTTAGCCATGCTTCTATACACAAGTTCACACAAGTGTTTGCTTCTCTGCCATGATCAGTTTTAATATCATTTAAGCGAGTAGAATTCACGTTGAGATGTTGCCCAAGTTTTTCCCAGTCACCCTTTGAAAATCCATAATTATCCAACTCAGTCACTATTCTATTCTTATGATCATTACAATTCAAAATTTCTATTATGAATATGAAAAATTATATTAATGAATTTAAGCCTACCTTGTCTTTCAGTTGAAGCAGCAAAATCTGTCCTAGCCCCTGAGCCAGCTGGTCTGGTAACATCTAATAATTAAAAATTAGTATATTATTAACTAAAGCATCAATACTAATGTACCATTTGTAGTTTTTAGATAACATTCAATGTATATTGTTATTTTTCTTTCTGCACCCATTACTGGTACACCATAACATAATGTTCCTTTAGCTTCAGGTGAAGCTTCTACTGTTATGAGACATAATGGAAGCATAGTATGATCATCGCCACCAAAATTTTCCACATCACTTTGATACAACTAAAGAAAATAATCTAATTTATTTACAATCTGTGTTTTCTTACTGTACAAGGATCTATAAGAGGCCTAATACACCAGCCTTTTATTGAATATTTTTGATTAGTGTCATCAAACACTAATTCAATGTATTCCTCTTTAAACTTAAAGCGAAAACCCTGTCCTTCTTCCCATTCAGGATACTCTTCCTTCACATGCTAGATCATACAAAATATTTAAGTAAACAAACATACGTCTTACCTGACGGAGGGCTTTTAAATTTTTAACAGCAAAAAATTTAACTGAATCTCTTACATCTTTTCTTTCATAATATAACTGTCCTGCAAAGGTTTGGGACTTGTCTATTCCAGTAGCTTGAGCTGTAAATAATGTAGTAATTATAACACATTGTATAATGGAAAAGTGTTATTTTAGTCTCACTAAAAAGATCTGGCTTCTCAGTAGATGAAGGTCTGTCCTTTTTATGTAATTTTTTATCATCGTTTTTCTTTCTTCCATCTTTTGGTCCTGCAGGACCAAGTCCTTGAGGCCTAGGTTTCCTGCAAGCTCCACCCTCTTGTTCCTGTTTTCCTCCAGGCTGCTGTAGCTCATCTTGTTGAGATTCTTCTTGAACTAGTAGATTTGGCTGCTCCTGACTTCCTTGTTGGCCTACACTCAGATCAATAGGCACTTGTTTCAGTCCCAATATGCATATGAAACAGTTTGTAGTAAAATTAAAAGACCCATACCAACTGTCAGACTTGAAGTCTCCTTCTTGTAATAAAAAATTATAAGGAGAACTACTGTCTATTGAAGCAATGGCAAATCTAAGATAGCGTCTCATATCAGGTTGATTTATTAGATCAATACAATGCTGTAACTCTAGTCTCATTGGTGTAGGAATGGATGTAGATACAGCATATACTGCACTAACAAGAATTGTGTTTTTTGGAAACATGAACTTTCCACCTGCAAGTGCAGTCACTTGCATTTTTTCTGATGAACTTACACGTAAATATTTCTTGAGCAGGTTAATTTTTATTCCATAGGCTTCTAAATTTATCAATTGCTGATCATTCAGTTCAACTTGTAACATCATATCTTTTATGACATTTACAGCTCTTAGATAGTGCAGTTTATCTAAATGATAACATGAATTATAGTAAACATTAATATCCTTACCAAAGGAGCAAGACTGTTTATCCACAAAAAATACTTCATCACTGCTCACAGTAGTTTCTAATGTAAAAGATGTAAAAATTTCAAAAACTAAAAATATTTGATTTGTATAGGCATAGTATTATTTGAATTAAATTTTGCTTAGGAAATAAAATAAACTCACGTTTTATATTCAATATTGGTAGTGGTTTGTGTGGTTGTTCCTTTTTGTGTCTATCAATCAATGTCTTTCTTTGGTTTTCAAAAGTATGCTTTATGAGCCAAACAAATCCTGTATCAATCTCAATATATTCAAGCGATGAATGGATGAAGATAGTTTCACATAAATGTTGTACTAGTTCTATCCAGTTAGGTTGAGATGAATAAATAATATCTTCACACTCTATCTTCAGTAGTTTGATGGTTGTATGTGACTCTAACATATTAGTAACAGCAGGTAGTACCTGTTCATAAAACAATAATGTCATTATTTGTTTCTTCTTTTCCCTACTAGAATTACTGTATGCCTGATCTGGTGTGAAGTCCACTTCAAGTTCTGTGAGGTTGTTTTTTTGAGAAATGACATTAATAAAAGTTCTTATCTCTTTATTCAGTGGAATGGATACACTCAACTGTTGTAGACTGGTGTTGTGTCTGAGACCAGTTGTTAGGAAGGACAGGAATGAACTGGGAATGGGAATTTGAGTGTCATTCAATAAACCGTCGAAATCCCTAAATCTATTAATCTCAAGGTATTTCAGTGTTTGGTTTTGTGTTAGCATGTCTTGTAGACTAGTACCCATACTGCTGGTATATACTCTCTCCTTTATCTCTACACTCAGAGCTTTAAGTGTAGTATTGGTTTGTAGAATAGTAAATAGTTCAATAGCACTCTCAGCTGTGTCTAGTGGTAAAGTAAGTGTATGTAGACTGGGATGAGAGAGAAATAGAAGATTTAGTGGGTATGGATCATGTAGTATCAGACAGTGTAATCCTTTGATATGTGGAAGGAGTGATGTCATCAGTTTACTACTCCATCTTCCTATCTCTAGAGCAGTCAGTGGTGTGTTCACCTCTACTATATTCAGTGATGATTGTAGAAGTTCATTGTCAGGTATGTACAATGAAAGAGCTTGTAATGTGTTGTTGCACCTTAGTAGCTGCTCTATTACTTCATCAGGTAGAGGAGAAGTATCAGCAACAACATGTATTGTTAATGATGTTATTGTTTTATTTCTTGTTACTCCTCTAATGACACTGGTAATGGTACTTGTTGTTTCATTATTTCCATAACTCTGAATCTTCATTTCTTGTAGTGTTGAATTCATTTCTATATGTTTCTCAAATTCAGTGCATTTGTCTGTGAAGTATGTATTGTCAACTGTTGGTAGAGTATGATCATTCATTGTTAAGTGCAGTATCTTCAATTGAGGAAGATTGAGGAACTGTAACAATACAAGACAGGGAACATATTTACTAACAATTAATTCACAGTAGCAGTCCTGAATATTGCATAGAAGTGATGATTGTAATAATTTGTGTATTAAAACATTACTGTGCTCATTCAACTCTACCTCCAGTCTCTTAAACTGGGTCTGTAGTAAGTTATTGGTTAGTCCAGCAGGGAAGACTGATAGAGACTCGTTAGATGTAGTCCCCAGGTGCAAGTAATTCCATGCTGTGTTACAATTGTTTATACAATAACTGAGACATAACCAGTCAAACAATGATAATGATACTCTATCCAGACACAGTGAGTGGTTGTTGATGGATTGTGCTAATACTTGACATAACGTTGTGTTCTGTGACTCATACAGGAGTTGAAAAATTAGAAGAATAGGAACATTGTCAAGATCATTGGAACTGATATGGACTTGTTCAATCTCAGGATTCTGATAGAAGTATGAAAGATGACAATTTTCAAATCCAAACAATGGTTTCCTCTTACACTGTAAGTCAAGTTGTTGTTTATTAAAATACTGTTGATAGCTCTCATGTTCAAGGTGAGTTAGACCTGCCACAAATCTCAGACACATTTGAAAGTGGTCATCATTAAAGTGATCCTTAAACACTTCCTCTGCCTTCTTCTCATGCTTAGCTATCCACCATGCAGCTAGAAATTCCTGTATACTCAAGTGAAGGAACTGATACTTCTCCTTATCATAATCTATGAATGTTGTCATCAATCCAAAATAGTCTTCCTTGACTGCCTCACTCAGTGACTGTAGTTGATGTGAATAGAAAGTCATTCTTGTATTAGCCAGGTTAGTATAAGCTAATTGACACATCTCTTGTAAAGGTTTAGCTAATTGTGTTGGTAATGAAGAAAGACTACCTAAAGTGTGTGGGTTAATGTCATGTCTTTTAACATGTTTTCTGATAGTTTGTAGGATAAAGTTCTCATAGAGTTGAGTGAGTGTTGTTGGTAAGTGTCCTCCTTCCTTACAATAAACTAAGATGACCATGGAACAGACTAGTGGTACATAACACAATAATTGAACATCATTTCGAACTTCAAGATCATTAATGAGTTTCACTGCTAGTTGTGAGTCCTTATCTGTAGGTAATTCAGCTTCATCACTTATTTCATCATTTTCATCATCACTGTCACTATCAGGAATGCTTTTACTATGCAAGTAATGAATAATTTTTTGTGCTAGTTTTGTATCTTTTTGAAGTGTTCGTATAATTACTTTTGATATTTCTTTTTTAGAAAACCCAATGACCTGAACATGTCTACTGAGAGTATCCATTTTCAAGAGTGAAGAGGAGGCATAGCTACGAGAGGTAACAATTACTGAACATTGGTCTAACTGCTCTCTATGAATGATACTAGCAGCTAATGAAGACCGTCTGAGTTGTTCACTTAGTTCATCCCAACCATCAAAAATTATCAGTAATCCTTCTCCATTCCTCTTCTCAAACCATTTAGCTACAATGGGAACTTCACAACATCTATACTCAAACAGGTCAGCTAGTGTAGTAGCTGTAGCTATCTTGCTATTCCTTAAAGGACAGTAAAGTACCAAGTCATACTGTTGGTGTACAAGTGTTCCATTAGACCACATATTTAACAGTTTACGACAGAGTGTTGTCTTGCCAATACCAGGAGGACCATCTATCACTACTCTGAGAGACAGAGAACTATCTGTGAGTTGGAGGACATCTTCAACACTTATCTCTTTGTTTCCAGTTAGTTTAAGCACTTCATCAACTTGTCCTCTTAGCAGATGCCAAGCTGTTTCTGCTTGTGTGCTGGAGTCTTGTATTTCTAGTAGTGCTAATCTTCCAAAGAAATCTTTTCCAATTCTTGGTGGCCAGTCTGTAGCAACAATAGGTCGGTGTTTGTAGTGTTGTCTCATATTGTCAGCATATCCTTGAACATCATCAGGTATTGAACTAATGGGTGTGACAATATCAGGTATAGACTGATCTAACGTATTGAGATATAATGACTATATTGATCACTGATAATGTACACACACACTCACCTAACTGGTGTAATATAGAGGTAGCAATATCTGTTAGTGTATGATGTTTTTGGTTTATTAATACATGACATATATCAATAAGATACTGTTCTGGATTAAGAGAGAATTCCAACTGTCGTTGTATCACAGACACTAATTGACTTGATTTCCTATAATCAGATATTCCTGTTACTGTTTGTGTATTCTCTTTACTATTCAGTGGTATCAGTCCTTCAGCATACAGTGCATCAGTTACTCTGTAAAGGTTAGTAGTGATAGCATCAGTGAATTTAACAGAATGAGTCCTTAATATATCCTTTGGATTACCTGCAGTAGTGTATCAGTTAATGAGTGTTGTATTAAGTGTATGTTTACCGGTTATAGGACCAGGTTTAGGATTACTGGTACTAATTTCCATATTGTCATTAGTGCTTCTTCCAGCTATGGGATCTGTCACATTGTCTTCAATAGTTCTAGCTAGTTCATTCTCTTTACATTGTTTCAAAGCATTAATGACATCTCTCCATGATGCTGTAGGATTAACTTGTAACCATCTCTTATGTAAATCCTCCATCCTGAGGTAAGAGCTTCCTTTTGTTTTAATTATATCAACATCAAGTTGTGTTATTCCACCAGGAAGACAAAGAGCAAATGATTCCCAATCAACAAGTGGTTCAAGGTGCTTTGCAAATAAGTTACTTTTTCCAGTTAAAAGACCAGGATCAAGCTCTGATGTGTAAAAAATTATGTTTATTATTGATACTCAAAATAATCATATAAACAGAGGCATTCAACACAAAATAATACAACATCACATGTATAATAAATAATTTTATTACTTTCCATAACTGGATTGAATGCATCGTCAACTGGTGAACCAGATATAGACTGATGTAGACTTATATCAGGTATAGACTGACCTAATGTATTAAGATATAATGACTATATTGATCACTGATAATGTACACACACACACACACTCACCTAACTGGTGTAATATAGAGGTAGCAATATCTGTTAGTGTATGATGTTGTTGGTTTATTAATACATGGCATATATCAATAAGATACTGCTCTGGATTAAGAGAGGATTCCAACTGTTGCTCAATGACATTCACAAGTTTACTAGATTTCTCATTATTAGTTAATCCTAATACATGCATCTCCTCTTTAGTTTGTTGTGGTATCAACCCTTCAGCATACAGTGCATCAGTTACATTGTATAGATTCACACTAATAGCGTGAACTAGTTTATCAGAATGAGTCCTTAATATATCCTTCAGATTACCTGCAGTAGTGTATCAGTAAATGAGTGTTGTATTAAGTGTCTGTTTACCTGATGTAGTACTAGTAACAGGTTTGTTTGCAGAAACTGATGATGATCCACCACTGGCAGAAGCATCATTGCCTATTTTAAAATATTGTTTTTAAATATTATACTTTTATGAAATAGAAGTATAAATACCTTGTGATTTTTGCATTTGCAAACTAAGACCATGCTCTAACATATAAGATGAATTAAATTATAAAAAATGTTTTGTATACCTAAATTGTTTGGAGGACTTTGGTTTGACCGCAAGCACCTACATAATTTAGTAACAATCCAGTTCCAGACTCTACCTAACCATGTTAATATTTATAGAATAAATTGCTAAAATTAGCATAAATATATGTTTACCTATAGGACCAGGATTGAGTTCAACATCTCCTGATAAGAGGAGGAGGAGAAATAGAACCAAATAGTAGATCAGTTCAGAGCTGCTGCCAATAGTAGCTATTAACAAGACTAATGACTGAAGGCAGTGGATCATAACAGTAACAGTAATTATACCTATTGTAAATACACTGTATGATAATATTATATACTGTTAGTTTGTTTACCAGTTTGAGGAATAAAACTGAGCTTCATATATCTTAATAAAGATAAAAGAAGAGAAACAATAAGAGACAGAGCTGCTGGCAGTTTAGATGTCTTCTCTCCTGATGTAGTATTGCCTGACTTGCTGTCTACTGCAGCTTTGAATGAGTGAGAGTGGCAGCCATTAGCTGGTTTACTGGAGGTAGCTTGACAGTAGTTCCACAGTCCAATGCTTGCTCTCCATTGAGAGACATCAATCATCATGTACTATAGTATGGAGGACAATGAGAGAATTAGGTAACTTAAGGTGTAGCTATTTCAGTGATCACTTACACCACAATAAAGAAAGAAGGAAAGAAGAAGGAAAGCGGCAAAGCCAAGGATTTAGGAATGCAAGCAAAGGAAGTTGAGGGTTGTTGTAATAACATTCATGTGATCATATAGTGCAGATGCAGTCTTTATGATACAATCATGTAGTTTACAAAAATTATTTCCTTAAATTGACAAAACTGTATTTGACTGAAACATACAAAGTACCAGTTAGGGTATACTAGATCTTTACACATCACTCTATTGTAAATTTGTAATGGCATAAGTATTGTTTACAATGCAATATTATTATGTCAGTATGTATAAAATAATAAATACCGGTACACTGAAGTATAATTCCTTTATCCAGTCACTAATGGTAGAAAGTGAGGCAGCTGCCGCAGCTCCAAGCACAAGAAAAGTGGGTGCAGGTGTAACTGAACTATCACTGAATTATAATCATGGATCATTATCAATGTCATGTGAGTAATTCTCTACTACATTGTTATTATAGAACTTACCATTATTATGACCAAATATGGCCATTTCACACAATAAAAAGTACTCTTAGTTCTCTTTCCCTCCCTCCCTTCCTCTCTCCCTCTCTCTCTCTTTACTTCTATTGTGGGTATTAGTGGATTGTATATTTGTGTTCTCAAAGCTTTATCATAACATTTTACATTTTGACTTTCCTATAGTTGCTACACTATTACATTTATACTATCACAGTGATGTAACAATGAGCACAAAGTTACTATTTTTTAAAAGAAGCAAGCTTTTGCAGCCAGCCACAGTAAGTAGAAAAGATGGGTGTACTACCAAAAAATGGGTGTATTAGTACAAAGGATGGGTGTATCAGTGTATGTGTGAGGTATATAGCACCTGTTGCTAGAACACACCAACAACACTGAATATTATTAAAATAATAATTTTTCTTTATTTTCTGAGGCAGATTTCTGCTGTATCTCTTAATTAATCTACAATTCTACACTAGTTTTAAGTGTAGTACACATAGCTATAGTTTATACACTGATGTACTAACTACTAACATACACTTCACATTATGTTCACTGTATACATTGTTCTTAGTTAAGTAAACAGTGTGGTAAGGAGGAGTGTATTTATTTACACAGTCAGTAACAGGTTACCTTTATCAGAAGAGGAATATCTAATGGCTACTGGTATCTACTGGTGTCTTGTATTGACTGAATGTCTGAGTCTTGTTGCATCCAGTGAGTTAAAATGTATATAACTATAGTAACCTTATCAATGGTTTAGTGGCATCAGTGGTTCAATTCGCTCAAACGGCACCAGATTATTCCATTGTATGTCCTGGTGACAGATTAGTACTTACTTGTATAGTGGCTGAAACTGGAGGAGCTGTTGTTTGGCAAGGAGATGGAATACAGAGATTGCTACTGACAAGTGGCCCAATGAATGGGACACTTAATAGCTTCTTTGTAAATATTAATGAATCAAACAGTACAACATTGATAAGCACAGCTATTGATAATAATGTTTCAGTTACACTAGATGGAGCTAATATTGTCTGTCTAGCAGATGGAGCCAATGCCAAACAATTTACAATTGATGTTGCAGGTAATGATTTTATTATTATTTATGTTTATTTAGGGTCATTAACTTATTAATAGATGCACCAGTTTCAGTTAATAATGTATCAGTGAATGCAATTAATAATAGCACAATGTTGATCAGTTGGACATATCAGAATGACACTGAGGAACACTGTCTAACTGGATATGCTATTAATATTAGTGCTAATGGCATGCTTGGGGCTATCAATACTCCTTCTAATGAGTATTATATTAGTTCTCTTATTATTGGTACTAATTATTCATTTATTATTATTCCTATTGATACTATTGGAAGAGAAGGACCTCCTTCATCATTAATACAGTATATATGGAATGGTAAGTACTATACACACACACTCATTGTATTTCTTATAGTACCAGCTCAAGTTGTTAATATTAGTTGGGATCAGATATCAACTGATAGTATTACAATATGGTGGAATAACAATGAAGTATGTTAAGATATTACTAATATTTATTATTATTTATTAAAATAGGATTCTACTATACCAGTTCCTCCTATTCAGCATTACATTATTAATGTATACAGTGCATCAAACAGTATCATATTCAACAGCAATACAGCTAACACTAATATTACTATTACTGGACTACCTCTTACTGATACAAACTACACTATTACTATCATTCCTGTTAATGTTATTGGATATGGACCATCAGCTACTGTTAATGGTACAATATATTATAACAGCAATTGTCATTGAATTGTTAATGTATAGTCAATGTAGCTATTGTTCCTACAATGACCAGTAGTTATGTACCATCATCATCATCATCAGGTACTATATTGGTGCATTATGACTGTATTTATTCATTATTTATTCATTATATGTTAATAGTTACATTAGTTAAAGATATAAGCACCAGTACATCATCATTACTTATAACACCTATGTCGAGTAAATAATAATATCAAAGTACATAATAATTAATATATTCATTAATAGTATCAGTACCCACTGCTACTGGTACATTAACTATTAGTGGTACTGGAAGTGCATCAGTAGTGACATCATCAGCTATGATCCCAAAGCCCAGTACAAGTACTAGTGGCTCTAGTGTTGTTCCTATTGTATCAGGAGCTGTTGGAACAGTATTATTAATTATAATCATTATTATTATTATGTTGATAATAGTAATGGTAATTAAAAGACAAAGAAGTAAGAATCTATTAACTTGTAATAAATATAATGTTATTATACAGGTAAATCTAACAATAGTGTAGAATTTAAAATGTAAGTAATTTATTACAATTTCCAATACATAATGAAGTACACATGCCATATAAAAAGTTTGAGTTGACTCCGACTTCAAAATTTTATACTGTGAGCACTTTTTAAAAATGACCAAATGGCTCCGAAATCATTCCCCAATTCGATTACATTTTCTGGTACACATTAATGTACTTATGTTGTAGAAAGTTTCAACTGATTCTAACTTCAATTTTTTGAGTTATGACCATTTTTTAAAATGGCCAATTTTTGAAAAATACCTATAGCCCATGATTTTTTTCAAAAAATGGCTCTGAAATCACCCCAAATTTTTATTGAATTTTCTGGTACATATTGATGTCCTAATGCTGTGTAGAAAGTTTGAGCTAATTCCGACTTTAATTTTTTGAGTTATGACCATTTTTAAAAAACAGCCAATTTTTGAAAAAATACCTAAGGCTATATATAGCCCATGATTTTTTTCAAAAAATGGCTCCAAAATCACCACAAATTTTTATTACATTTTTTGATACATATTGATGTCCTAATGCTGTGTAGAAAGTTTGAGCTGATTCCGACTTTAATTTTTTGAGTTATGACCATTTTTTAAAATGACCAATTTTTGAAAAAATACCCAAGGCTATAATGGTTTTTTCCAAAAAATGGCTCCAAAATCATCCCAAATTTTTATTACATTTTTTGATACATATTGATGTACTTATGCTGTGTAGAAAGTTTGAGCTGATTCCGACTTCAATTTTTTGACTTACGAGCATTTTAAAAGTCCCAATTTTTGAAAACATAACATAGACTACTAAGCTTATTGTTGTGCATATTGAAATGAAGCATCACCATAGTACATCATTTCTTTAATATGATTATAACACACAGGTACAGTACTGATGGGGCTACTCCTACATATGATGAGATCATTGATAAACCAACTACTACAGTACCAGTACCAATATATGATACACCAATGGAGACAGATATTAACATCAATGTACACACTAATACTGCATATCAGAGATCAACAGTTAATAAAGATATTATTGCTGTACACAATAATGCTGCATATGGACAAATAATGATGTAAATAGAAATTCTAATCATCCTAGTTATATGCACATATTCATTATATGCATTATTCCGTCAAAAAAAATTAATTATTATTATGCAATAATGATGAACTATTGGAAAACAGTGAAAATTGTGACAATTAAAAGTATCTGGTTTTAATTTTTGAGTGTTATACCATTAACACAAAAATTTGTACACTAAATTAGTATTACTATTAAAAAAATATTTATAATTAAAATGAAAATTCACTAATAATAACCCATTGATATTAGACAATGAACATTAACTATTGGTAGTGGTTTGTGTGGTAGTTCTTTTCTGTGTCTATCAATCAATGTCTTCTTTTGATTGTTAAGAGTGTCCTCCAGGAGAGAAGGAGAATTCATTTTAGTAGTAAAAATCTCAATATATTCAAGTGATGGATGGATGAAGATAGTTTCATATAAATGTTGTGCTAGTTCTATCCAGTTAGGTTGAGATGACTCAGTATTAATGTCACACTCTATCCTCAGTAGCCTGATGGTTGTATGTGATTGTAACATGTTAGTAACAGCAGGTAGTACCTGTTCATAAAACAATGATCTCTTTCTATTTTCTAAACTATAGTTTCGCGCATGACATCTATTTGTACCTATGCATCTTTCATCACTGCTTTCAATCTCAAAGTCGTAAATGTATGACTCGAGTATTATAAACTTCATTTCAAATTCTGTGAGATTGTTCTTTTGAGAGATGACATTAATAAAAGTTATTGTCTCTTCATTGAGTGGAATGGATACACTCAACTGCTGTAGACTGGTGTTGTGTCTGAGACCAGTTGTTAGGAAGGACAGGAATGAACCAGGACTGGGAAAGGGACAATACCAGTGATTAAGCATATTTAGATATTTCAATGTTTGGTTTTGTGTTAGCATGTTTTGTAGACTAGTACCAATACTGCTGGTATATACTCTCTCCTCTATCTCCACATTCAGAGCTTTAAGTGTAGTATTGGTTTGTAAAATAGTAAATAGTTTAATAGCACTCTCAGCTATGTATACTGATAAAGTAAGTGTATGTAGACTGGGATGAGAGAGAAATAGAAAATGTGGTGGGTATGGTTCAGGTAATATCAGACAGTGTAATCCTTTGATATGTGAAAGGAGTGATGATGTCATCAGTTTACTACTCTTTCCCATCTCTAGTGCAGTCAGTGGTGTGTTTACCTCTACTATATTCAGTGATGATGGTTGGAGTTCATCACGTATGTCTAGTGAAAGAGCTTGTAATGTGTTGTTGTCCTTTAATAACTGCTCTATTACTCCATCAGGTAGAGAAGGAGGAGGAGCATAAGCATGTATTGTTAATGATGTCATTGTTTTATTTCTTGTTACTCCTCTAATGACACTGGTAATGGTACTTGATATTTCATTCCATCCAATATACTTAATCTTCATTTCTTGTAGTGTTGAATTTATTTCTATACATTTCTCAAGTTCAGTGCACTTGTCTGTGTAGTATGTATTGTCAACTGTTGGTATAGTAGGATGTTCTATTATTAAGTGCAGAATCTTCAATTGAGGAAGATTGAGGAAGTGTAACAATACAAGGCAGGGAACATATTGACCTTTATCTAACTCATAATAGCACTCCTGGACATTGCATAGAAATGATGGTTGTAATAATTTGTATAATAATTCATCAGTGGGTTCTTTCGACATTACCTCCAGTCTCTTACACTGGGTCTGTAGTGAGTTATTAGTTAGTCCAGCAGTGAAGACTGATAGTGACTGGTTAAGTACATACCCCAGGTGCAAGTGATTCCATGTTGTGTTGGAATTGTTTATACAATAACTGAAACACAACCAGTCAAACAATGATAATGACAGATACAAACACAGTGAGTGGTTGTTGATGGATTGTGCTAATACTTGACATAATGTTGTGTTCTGTGATTCATACAGGAGTTGAAGAAGAAGAATGGGAACATTGTCAAAATCATAACAACTGACATGATCAAATTGTCTAATCTCAGGATTCTGATAGAAGTATGAGAGATGACAAGTCTCAAATCCAAACAATGGCTTCCACTTACAATCTAAGTCAAGTTGTTGTTTATTAAAATACTGTTGATAGCTCTCATGTTCAAGGTGAGTTAGACCTGCTACAAACCTCAGACACATTCGAAAGTGATCATCATCAAAGTGATCGTTAAACACTTCCTCTGTCTTCTTCTCATGCTTAGCTAACCACCATGCAGCTAGAAATTCCTGTATACTCAAGTGAAGGAACTGATACTTTTTCTCATCATATTCTGTGAATGTTGTCATCAATCCAAGGTAGTCTTCCTTGACTGCCTCACTCAGTGACTGTAGTTGATGTGAAGAGAATGTCATTGTTGTATTAGCCAGGTTAGTATAAGCTAATTGACACATCTCTTGTAAAGGTTTAGCTAATTGTGATGGTAATGAAGAAAGACTGCCTAAAGTATATGGGTCAATGTCATGTCTTGGTTTTATTTCCACATGTCTTCTGATAGTTTGTAACATAAAGTTCTCATAGAGTTGAGTGAGTGTTGTTGGTAAGTGTCCTCCTTCCTTACAATAAACTAAGATGACCATGGAACAGACTAGTGGTACATAACACAATGATTGGACATCATTTCGTACTTTAAGATCATTAATGAGTTTCACTGCTAGTTGTGAGTCCTTACTGCTTTGAGTAGTTGTGAATGGTTTAGATAAAAGAAGTGCCAAGCTGCTTTTATCAATGAGTTTTTGTGCTAGTTTTGTATCTTTTTGAAGTGTTTGTATAATTACTGTTGATATTTCTTCCTTAGAAAACCCAATGACCTGAACATGTCTGCTGAGATTTTGAATTTTTAAAAGTGAAGAGGAGGCATAGCTACGAGAGGTAACAATTACTGAACATTGGTCTAACTGCTTTCTATGAATGATACTAGTAGCTAATGAAGACTGTCTGAGCTGTTCACTTAGTTCATCCCAACCATCAAAGATTATCAGCAATCTGTCTCCATTCCTCTTCTCAAACCATTCAGCTACCATTTGAACTTCATAACGTCTATATTCAAACAGGTCAGCTAGTGTAGTAGCTGTAGCTATCTTGCTATTTCTTAAAGGACAGTAAAGTACCAAGTCATACTGTTGCTGTAAAAGTTGTCCATTAGACCACATATTTAACAGTTTACGACAGAGTGTTGTCTTGCCAATACCAGGAGGACCATCTATTACTACTCTGAGAGACAGAGAACTATCTGTTGGTTGGAGGACATCTTCAACTCTTATCTCTTTGTTTTCAGTTAGTCTAAATATTTCATCAACTTGTCCTCTTAGCATATGCCAAGCTGATTCTGCTTGCGTTCTGGAGTCTTGTTTTTCTACTAGTGCTAGTCTTCCAAAGAAATCTTTTCCAATTCTTGGTGGCCAGTCTGTAGCAACAATAGGTTGGTGTTTGTAGTGTTGTCTCATATTGTCAGCATATCCTTGAACATTATCAGGTATTGAACTAATGGATGTGACATTATCAGGTATAGACTGACCTAATGTATTGAGATATAATGACTATATTGATCACTGATAATGTACACACACACACACACTCACCTAACTGGTGTAATATAGAGGTAGCAATATCTGTTAGTGTACGATGTTGCTGGTTTATTAATGCATGACATATATCAATAAGATACTTCTTTGGATTACGTGCTGGGCTCGCTTCTAACTGTACCTCTAAGACATGAACAAGGTTGCTTGCTTTTTTATTATCAGTTACTCCTAATACATGAATGTCCTCTTTAGTTTGTTGTGGTATCAGTTCTTTAGCATACAGTGCATCAGTTACATTGCATAGATTCACACTAATAGCATGAACTAATTTATCAGAATGAGTCCTTAATATATCCTTTGGATTACCTGCAGTAGTGTATCAGTTAATGAGTGTTGTATTAAGTGTATGTTCACCTGATGTAGTACTAGTAACAGGTTTATCAATTACAGTAACTGATGATGATACAGTAGATACTACTGGTACAGTACTAGTAGGAGCATCAGTATTACCTATTATACATTTAATATAATTATTAATACATGATCATACCTCCTGTACATTGATGTACTTGTAACTGATCATTAATAGTTTGTAACAAATTTATCTCTTTTCTTTTAGTCAATGCATTAAGTACATCTCTCCATATTGCTGTAGGATTCTTCTTAAGCCATTTAGAAAAGAGGGCTCCTTTACTTTGTTCAGCATTAATTGCAAATTCTTCAATTGTTGTAATATCTTGTTGTGTTATTCCAGGTAAGAGAAGACCAAATGATTGCCAGTCAACAAGTGGTTCAAGCCATTGAAGTAATAAGAAAATATCAGGTTGATCATCAATCATAGGACCAGGATTAAGTTCAACATCTCCTGATAAGAGGAGGAGAAGTAAAACCACATAGTAGATCAGGTCAGAGCTACTGCCAATAGCAGCTATAAACAAGAATAATGACTGGAGGCAGTGGATCATAGCAGTAACAGTAATTATACCTATTGTAAATACACTGTATGATAATATTATATACTGTTAACTTGTTTACCAGTTGGAGGAATAAAACTGAGCTTCATATATCTTAATAAAGATAAAAGAAGAGAAACAATAAGAGACAGAGCTGCTGGCAGTTTAGATATCTTCTCTCCTGATGTAGTACTGCCTGACTTGCTGTCTACTGCAGCTTTGAATGAGTGAGAGTGGTGGCCATTAGCTGGTCTACTGGAGGCAGCTTGACAGTAGTTCCACAGTCCAATACTTGCTCTCCATTGAGAGACATCAATCATCTTGTACTATAGTATGGAGGACAATGAGAGAATTAGGTAACTTAAGGTGTAGCTATTTGAGTGATCACTTACACCACAATAAAGAAGGAAAAAAGAAGGAAAGCGACAAAGCCAAGGATTCACAAAGTAAGTTGAGGGTTGTCAACTCCAACTTCCTTTGAACTTGTTGTAATAACATTCATGTGATTATTATCAGATGCAGGTGCAATGCTATTACTTAGATCTATATGATACAATCATGCGTGTAGTTTATAATAATTATTATGTCCTTAAATTGACAAAACTGTATTTGACTGAAATATGTAACATAGAAAAGTACCACTCTATTGCATGGCATATTAAGTAATGTTCACAATGCATTTTTATGTCAGTATGTATAAAATACAAAATACCTGTAAACTGCGTTATCCAGTCACTAATGGTAGAGAGAGTGAGCAGTTTCAAGCACTGGGAAAAGTGGGTGTATGTGTAACTGAACTATCATTGAATTATATTCATGGATCATTATCAATGTCATGTGAGAGTGATTCTCTACTACATTGTTGTTACAGAATTTTCCATTATTATGACCAAATATGGTCATTTCACACAATAAACAGTATAGTTCTCTCTCCCTCCCTCTCTCCCCCACTTCTATTGCAGGGCATTAATTGATTGTATGCTGTGTTCTCAAAGTTTAATATTATACTATAGCATTTTGCATTTTGACACTACTAGTCGCTACACTATTACATTTACAAAAAGCAAACTTTTCCAGCCAGTCACAGTAAGTAGAAAAGATGGGTGTACTACCAAAAAATGGGTGTATTAGTATAAGATGGGTCCAGTGTATGCTATAAAGGATGGGTGTAATTCAGTGTATGTGTGTGGTATATAGCACCTTATGAAAATAGTTACTGGAACACGATAAGTGTAGTATTTGTAGCTACAGTTTATACACTTATGCATTAAGTTACACTTCACATTATGTTCACAGTGTATATGTACACTGTTCTCTAAAGTAAACAGTGTAGTAAGGAGGAGTGTATTCATTTACACAGTCAGTAACAGGTTACCTTTAGAGGAGGAATAATGGCTATTAGAATCTACTGGAGTCTTGTATTGGCTGAATGCCTGAGTCTTGTTGCATCCAGTATGTTAATGTTAATGGATAATAACTATTTTATCAATGGTTTAGTGCCATCAGTGGTTCAATTCACTCAAACAGCACCAACTTATTCCATTGTATGTCCTGGTGACAAATTAGTACTAACTTGTATACTCACTGGAACTGGAGGAGCAGCTATTTGGCATGGAGACAAAGGGACAGTAGAATTACTAAGGCCAGATGGTTCATTGAATGATACTGTTGATAGTTTTTTTGTCAATATTAACGAATCAAACAGTACAACAGTAATAAGCACAGCTATAAATGATTCTGTTCCAGTTACACTAGATGGAGCTAATGTTGATTGTGCAGCAGATGGAAGCACTTTAATACGATTCACCATTGATGTTGCAAGTAATGATTTTATTATTTATGTATATTTAGGTACATTAATTTATTAATAGATGCACCAGCTTCAGTTAGTAACATATCAGTGAATGCAATTAATAATAGCACAATGATGATCAGTTGGACATATCAGAATGACACTGAGGAACACTGTCTAACTGGATATGCTATTAATATTAGTGCTAATGACACATTTTATGTGGCTATTAATACTCCTTCTAATGAGTATAGTATTAGTTCTCTTATCAT